TTGTTTGCTTAAAATAAACATCAAATGTAACAATAACTCTTACATTAAGAAACATAACAAATTCTGGATGAGAAAATGAAGAAAAAAAACAAGTGCATTAGTAGGTGGCGAGAGAACTCTTATTTTTATATTTTTGAAGTTTTATATGAGCTGCAAGCTATTTTTCAGGTACTCTATTGATTTTTACTAGAAATAATATAGCTCAGATGGAATATCCTATGTCGCACGTTTGTTAGCACTACCGCTCGTATATCGCAGTTATCATGAGAACCGACCGTAATCCTTACGACTTTCGATACCAGCTATGAACAGTTGCAAAGAATGTTTTCTATTCAAATTCGAATTATTTATTAGAAAGAATTCAAATTAACCGAGAAAAAATAGATTCAGAATGTATTTTACTAATAAAATATTTTGCAGCACCATCTACAATACAAGTTTGTCTCATAAACTGGGGCTAATTTCAGATCTATGGCTAGTACAGACGACTGGGACACATCAACATCATTAGAGTATCGAAAATAACTCAATTCTGTCAATTTTAACAGACTTCAAAAATATTGACCCATTTTGATACAACACATTAAAAAAACCACCAGTAGAGTCTCGATAGTTATCACATAGAATATCTGATCTAGTGTAATCCATAGCTAAACAAGTACAAACAAAGAATAGATATATGATGAAAAGGCATTTTCACTTTCAAGCATAATTCTATTATATATTTATCTTGATTAATGATGATTTATTATCTGACGAATTCTAAAATTTAAATGCTGTCATCATTCGACCGGTTTATTAACTATTATTTACATCGACTAGAAATCTGCGGGACTAAGTTTTTTTAGTTTCGGTCATAGTTTCAGTAAATCTGATCTAGTTCTGTTCCTGGTGATTTCTTTTTTTTTGCGTTCCGATCTAAAGAAAACTATGCCAAAATTTATTCATATCGCATCTAAAAAAATGTTTCAACAGTCGTTTTTTGATTTATTTACTCGACAACTAGCGTCTTTTTGAATCATCTGTCTTGAATTATGTTTTGATTGATGATTTATAAGATAATTCGCTTAAAACCATGGAGTATTTAACTATAATCTTTGGTTTCAATTGGGATGACTTTTTTCTCGTAGTCTTGGTCAGTGAAGCTGAAACTAAAATTGATCTGACACACCTCTAGAATCGACAGAAAAAAACTAAATAACAGCAATATTAGATAGAACGTTCGTTAATAGAGTATTACATATGTAATTCGTTCATACTAATTTTTAGCGTTCATTGATGTTGATTATAATAGACGTGACATCTTTAGATTACTATTATCAAGCAGAAAAAAATTCAATATTATGTTGCATCTTATTTGCATTAGCTCTATTTAAGAATTTTCAAATTATATCTTATATGATCTAGTTTATTTTCTTTTTCTTGTTGCTTTTGAATTGTATCAACCTCCAGTCATTTATATTGCTAATTGTTTTTACACATATTAGAATTATTTTTGTGAAAAAGTAAAAGTAAATTCATTATTAATTATCTTATAATTAAATATTTCATCGTAGAAATATTACAATACCGAATGTAATGATCTTCGATAATTCATGAAAATCTTACTGTTAGAAAAGTCGTCACTTTAATCACAGCATCTTCATCCTCATACAGTGTTATATGTGTAAAGTCACATCAATCACTATGAAGATGTGATTAAAGTAAAGATATGCCAATTAATTTAATCATGTTCTAGTTTACTGAAAATTGTTTTGTTTAGGAATTCAATTTGAATTCCTTTATTATTGTTAATAAATCAAAATTCGAACTTACGAGTATCATCTAAACAGGTGAGTTTTCTATGTTATAAATTGAATTACTCGAAGAATAATCTTATTTAACGACTCTAGGAAAAAATCAAGAATAGCGATTAATCGAGTCTATCTTTGCATTCGATTAAATTTTTTTTTCTTTACTCGAAATTAATAATTTTGTTTAGTAAATAAATACCCAAAATATCAAATTCTAAGTTTATTAGTCAATAGTTTCTGATAAAACATTATTTAAAATCAATATGTTTGTATGACGTTATAATTGGCAAGTCAATTTTGAGAGACATTGTGTAAGAAACGAATACGATTTTTCTCCACATATTTAACTTTTTTTTAGTTTTAATGGGATACAGACTGAATCATTTAATTCTAAGATAAATCAACAATATAGAAGAATCAACATTTTTCTTTATAGCATATTTAACTGAATGATTTCGTCTATTAAAAATTGACCACAATAAATTGCATTTTTACTTTTAGGCTTCTAATTTTTCATTGAAAATTATGAATATGTCCTCTTGTTGATAATCAGGAGATGATACGTTAAATTCAGAAGATTGATCATATGACCCATAATAACTCGTGTCGATGGGCTGATGGTAATCAGCAGCCATACCAAAGGTTGGTTGTTGTTTCTTTTTCTTGCACATAATACTGATAATAATGATAATAACTAGTATTGCTAAAGATCCAACAGCTATTCTAATAATTGTCCCAATAGATATGACTTTGCTAGTAGTGCAAGTATTAATCATACTACATAATGTGATTGTAATGATTTCAAGAATGATTAAAAACAAAAGTAATGTGAAATTTTTGAAAAAGTGATTCATTTGAGATTGGAAACATGACGATATTTTTATAGGTTTCTTTTTGTTTTGTAAATAACATTTAGACGACGAATATAGGAAATGAAAAAATGGAATAGAGAAAAAGAAGCCTATTAGTGTTCAACTAACAGCAATAGTTTGTTGACATAAAACATTGTCGAAATAACTCTGAATTTATTACAAACTTCTAGCAAAATATGTCAATACTATCTCTGTTTCTTATTAGACATATTCACAGAATCTTATCAAAAAGAAAAACGAATGGTTATTTGATTTTTTCTTCTGTACTCTGTTTTTCTTCTATGATTTCTCGATATTATTGGTTACTAAAAACTACTCATGTAATTCAAACTGAAAAAAATACCATGGATTAACCGTTCGTTATAATGTGCAACATACTGGGAATAGTTTGATACTTAAATGGTTGGTTATTACCTGACCGTCATTCTACCGCGATATACTAATCGTTGTTCTTGGACCGGGAATCTACTGCTGATCTACCATCGGCTCTTAAAAGTACCGCAGTATACCGACGGTAGTGTGAACAAACGTGTGACATGGGATAGTTTTCATTGATATAAAATAATAAACACAACTAAATTGAAAAAAATTGTTTCAATTTGTCAATCAAAGAAAAATACAATCAAATGTCTTTTTTCAATACTAAATATTTTCAAATAACAGTCAAAATATTATCACAGTTATAAAATATACTCGATATTTCTGTTATAATCATATGAATTTTGTGAAAGTCACATTATGTTTTTCAAAGAACAATATAGTAAGTGTAAATTTCAAGGCAAAGTTCTGCGATTACCTCCACAGAGCAACAGAAGAGTGGAAGAAAGGGGGCCATCATTGAATACGTTTTCATAGCAACAGAAGATCACTGGTATCATACTCCTTTTCGAGAGTTCTTTAACAACGAAAAAGGCATCGAACGGTATCAACAACAGAACCTTAAGTGTTTTAGAACGCCTTCAACGTCTTTCTTGAAATTTCAATGACTGGAATATGTGCAGATATGTCCTGATCAGGAGAGGAGTGACCTCGGAACACCTCTGAATACGTTTGTCAACGTTCTAAATAGTGCAGTTTTTGTTTTTTGCCCCAGATAAAAATTTGTATATATATATATATATATACAAGATGTCAAGCATGATGAGTAGTGGTGCTTTGATTTACCATCGTCATCATATGATCAACATGAAAAGCATGGCGTAATCAACTTATAACTTTGGGAAATCATCAATATCTGTGTTTTGGAACTTATTGAGATATATAGTAGTGTGTTGAGATCTGTTGCAGATATAACGGCTATGTGCAATAGAAAACAAGGCGAACAAAAAAAACAGAGCGTCAGTAGAAACAGAAAAATTAAATAAGACAGATCATTTCACTAGCGGTTGATTACCCTTGAAAAACAACTTCTAGTCTACCGAAGATTTTTTACTTGACGTATTTTTTTACTATTCTAATGAAACTAAAAAAAAGCACATGTGATGTCCACATTTTAGCTCCGAAGAGGCTGCGCTGGCAAGCCTTTTTTTCTGAAGATAATTTTGAGAGAGAATGCAATCAATGAAATAGTATTTAAACGAGTGTATGAAAAATTTTCAATAAACATTAATTTCATTTTATATATTATTCATATCAAAATATAATATGCTTCACTGTTTTTTGAATAACTCGTTTGATAGGAACATCATAGAGACCTGCGGTTTTCATCATTCACGAGAAAAGAGATTCGAGACCATCGAAGTATGTTGAACTTTGCTTAGTCAGCAATTGACTAATTAGGTGAGTTCTTGGTGAAGATTTTCGAATACAACTTTTTAAAGCTATTTTCCTTTCGATTTAGAATTTTTAGAAAAAATTTCTTTCTTTCGAGCTACGCAAGTTCGACATTGCTAGCTTGTGTCGTTGGAGAGTTATAAGACTTTTCCTGAGACTCCAAGTTTTAGCCAATTGATCTGTGATTACTTGGAAAAGCGGCTAGGCAGAGGTAATTCACGATACTATGTCAAATGATGATATTTATTTTTAGATTCAAAATCATCTGACTCTGTTATTTTAATATTGCCGAAATGTTGACGCATTTGTTACATAAAGACGGATTGTGGAATTTCAGAAATATTGGGATAACAGAGTCAAGTCAGTTCGAAGCTGAAAACAAATATCATCATTCGACACAGTATGGTGAATTACTCCTGGATAATTTCTTTTTCGAGTGATACCAGGTCAATTGTCTGAAACTCGGAGTGTCAGGAAAAGTCTTAAAACTTTCGAGTGTAACAAACTAGAAATGTTGGTCTTGCATAAACTCTAAATTCTTTTAGTTATCATGAACAATATTTTATGAATACAAATTTTCTGTTGAAAAAAAACCTCCTTTAAAACAAAAATTCAATTAATCTTAGTTTTTTGTTTTTGTTTTTTGTTATAATATATTGAAACCAAATAATCTGATGTAAATATTCAAATATATGTCAATAAATCAATTATTAAATAAATGTTTGTATATGAATAAAAACTACTTTACAATATTTTTGTTTATAAGATCATGTTTATATAGTTAGTCAAAAAAAAACAGATACAAACAACAACAGTAGCAGCAGCAGCATTGAGAAAAGAAGAAGAACACCGTTGGGCATTAGCAATTAAGAGAAGAAGAAGAAGAAAAAGACACTGTGTTACAGTTACAAGACGCTCAAGAATAAACGACGAGTAAAGAAAAAGCCAATTCACACTAGCACACAGATTAGCCTAACTATTCTAAAACATTTTGATCAATTAAGAGAAAAACTACAAAGCAAGAAAAAAAAACTGATTTTTAATAAATTTAAACTTGAAGAAAAAGAAACGATGTTTTACGAAAATAGATAATGTCAATGAGAATAAAATGTTGTTGATTATATTGACTAGTGTGTATTCATATTTCACACAAGTTTATTTATATAATTATTATCTATAAGCGTCTCTTCTTTTTCTTCTTACGTAATTCATCATTTGCACGAAGAGTAACTGGTGCATAACCAAGATATGGTTGAGGTTGACCAGGTACAGCTACTGAACATTGTAAATACATTTGTTCAGCAGGTGATTCATCAGTTGGAGTTAATATAACACTATTTCCTTGTTGCTATTTAAAACATAAAAAAGAATTAAAAATGAAGTTTTTTTTTTCTTTTTACAAATACATACACGAGCATAATTTGGTAAACCTGTATCATGTGCATATTTAGTCCATGTTATAGTATATTGTTGAGCACCTTTAACACGGCATGTTAAATTGGCTTTTTCGCCACGTCCAAGTGTTACTTCACTTGGTTCAATAGTTACTTCAACATAATCACTTTGTGGTTGATATTCACCACCATGTTGAAAACTTTGATCATGACCACTACCGCCACCACCTTAAATAGAAATTTGAATATTATTAATCGAACAAAAAGAAATTAATTTGTTTACCTTCAATTCGAAGATCATAATTACTTTCTTGTGTTCCAGCTTCTGGTGAACGTGGAAAGTTAACTTCACATCTATTGAAATAAACACAAATGAAAATTTCTTTAAAAAAAACCTATTTTCCTTACCGATAACGTCCTGCATCATTAGCTTGAGCATTACGAATAATTAATAGACCATTTGGATGTATTTCAACATCTATTTAAGCAGAAAAAGAAAACATTTTGTTTTTGAATCAAAATAAACGAATCTAATTTTACTATTTTCTAATGGTTGACCATCTTTAGTAAATGTATATTCATATGGACGTTCAACACTTCCTTGAACTGCACATTGTAATTGAATGTCACGTCCAATTTGATGATTTTCTTCATCACGTGGTCCAAGACGTACATCAATAAAACTACGTGCACCATCTTGTTTATGACCTAGAAATTATCAAAATTGAAATTAATACAAAAAAAAAACATCATAATAAAATAGAAAAGCAGATGTAAACAGAAAAAAAATCATAGAATAAGCTAAGCGTACTTGATGGGCTAACACTAAGCGTTAAGGTATCAGAAACATTTCCTGATGAACAAGTAAATTCAAGTCCATTGTCTTGTATTGTCACAGCACCCAATGATAAATAACCATTTGAAAATGAAAGACCAAGTGGTACTGATTCACGTTGTCGACCATTATTACGTGTAACATCCAAACGAAGTGTTAATGGATCAACATCACTTCGACAAACAGCTTCAAGACGACGACCTTCATTTAAATCTAATCTTTGAACATTCCAATGAATTTTTCGATTTTGATCAACTATTAATTCAATGATGAATATAAGCAAAAAGGAAAAGGTTTTAGGTGTTGAAAAAAAAGCAAAGCATTATAATAAGCAAAGCTAAATATTTACTTACCATGAGCACCATCAGCACCATGAGCACCATCAGCACCATGAGCACCATGTGCACCACGAGCACCATCAGCACCATGTGTACCATGTGCAGCATCAGCACCATCAGCACCATGTGCACCATGTGCACCATGAGCACCATGTGCATCATGAGCACCATGTGAACCAGCTAAATGACAAAAAACAGTAATGTTAAGAATTATTAAATATTATTCAATTATATTTACCTGTGTCTCTCCATCGAATAACAACTGGTGCTGATACATGACCATAAGCATTCGCAACATTAAGTGTATATCGTCCATCAACATTGCTTGATCGTCCTTCAACACGTAATGCTCCGTCACTATGTGCAATAACACCGTCAGGTAAATATCCTGAACCATCTTTTGACCAAGTTGCTCTTGCTCCACTTGCTCCCTAATATAATTAATGAAATTTTAGAATAAATAAAAAAAAACTGTTTTTTTTTTGTTTTTGTTACAGTAATAGTTGGTACAATATCAACTACTTGATTAGGACTTATATCATATTGATCTTGTGAAAATTGAATTCGTGGTGCACCAGCTTGTTGTTCACGTCCTCGACCACGTCGTGGTTCAACATTAATACGTAATTCTTGTCTATCTTCACCATGTGGATTACGTACAACAACTTGATATGTACCAGCTGCCTCAGATGTTGCACGATTAAGTACAAGACGATTTGGTTCAACAGCAAATAATGATGGAATTGGTTGATAACCTTGATCTGTCAATTTATTCCAAGTAACATCAATTGGATCTTGTGACTAAATAAAGAAAAAAGAATTCTTTTTTTTTTCTAATTAAATTTTATTCAAACTTACGCTAACTGTATATTGAACAATCATACGTTGACCTTCTTTTAAATTAATTGTTCTTGGTTCAATTGTTATCTTTGGTGAACCACCTTTAACAAAAAAAAATAATAATATTCTTCTAGATTAATTATAATCTATTTTTTTTAGTTAACTTACCAGTACCTGGTTGTGGTCGATCAATAGGACGTGGTCGTTCAACATGTTGAACACGAAGTTCATATGGAATAGATATATGTGAACCATCACTTCCATGTATTTCACAATAATAAGTACCCGAATGCTCTGGTCTTGCATTACTAATTTGTAAACCATTACCATTTTGAGTTATACCTAACGGAAGTGGTTGACCACCATCACGACGCCAATAAACTCCATAAAATGCACCTTGAGGTTGTACGAATTGGTTATCACCTTCAAGTAATGTCAATGGACTTGGTTGATTAAATACTGGATAAGGAAATGGAGGACTAACAGGTTGTCGTTGACCTAAAAAAAAATAATTAATTATTTCAATAAAATTATTTTCAGGAAAAATAAATTAACCTGGACGATATTCTAAATAAATAGCAATACGTTCAACAGAACCATCAGGATGAGTTATTGTGCAAATATAATTTCCAGCTTGTTCAGCTGATGGATTACGAAAAACAAGATCATTGCCTTCTTGTACAACATTTGGTGGTAATGGACTACCATCAGTACGACCCCATACAATTGATTGTGGTTGAGCATTCTAATAAAATTTAAAAACAAAAACAAATTTTTATATGAAACAAAAATAAAAATATAAGTAAACATACAAGAACTTGAAGTGGAACACGTTGTTCTGGTTGATTACCATCTAAGATAATATTTAATGGAGCTGCACCACGTGTATCATAAGGTCGTTGATCGACATAATAAGCACCTCTTGGACTAGGTACATATGGTGGTGGTACTGGATCTAAAAAATAAGTAAAAAAAATCTAGACTATGAAAATAAATTATTATTTTCATATTCGTACAAGATGGATATTGTTGTTCATCTCTTGTACATTGATTCAATCGTGGATCGAGTATATAACCAGGACGACATCGTTCACATCGATCACCTTCGCTATTAGCTTGACAATCCTATTTGAACAAAGATACAATCAAATACAAAAAAAAATACAAATTAATACATACAAGACATCTGCCAGTATCTCGATCACATCGATCTGATCGATCATTACATAATGATCGACATGACAAACATTGACCCAAATAAATACCAATTAATGGATGTGGACGACCATAACCTTCAGCACATTTTTCACACGATGAACCTGTATAATTAGCTGGACAACGACATGATTCAACTGTTGGCGCTGCATCTGCATAACCATCACGAGCAGCAACATTTAAAGTAACACCATGAAGACTAAAATTTAAAAAAAATTCAAATTCAAATAAAACAATATTAATTATCTTACACAGCATTACGTCGACCACCAATTGGATTTATTTTAACAAGTAAAGTATCTAAATCTGCTAGAGCCATAAGAATATTTTCTCGGTCAATATATGTACCATCTTTACGTGTAAATGTTCTCTAGAAACAAAAAAAAACATTTTAATAAATTTTATAATCTTTTTTTTTTTTGTATATTCATACTTCATTACATGGTACCGAATAAGTAGCATTTGAATTTGCTCTAAATCGTTGAGTTTGTGGAAGTTTATGAACAAGATCAATATTATTACCACGTAACCATATAAATTCATCATTACTTGGTGGTTCATTATCATTACCATCATTTGTAAAATGAACATCAATATTACCATCATATAATGTAACAAAATTTCCAAGTACTTCTTTTGGTGCTCGCCAATAGAGAACATCATTCGCTGGTCGTCCTAATGAACTTTGATCAAGTGCTATTTCCTGTCCACCCTGACGTTGTTGAATTCGATCACGTGCTTCATATGGATCAGTAGCAAAAGTTTTTGGTACGGCATTCCAATTTTTTAATGAAAGTTGAATCTAATAGGAAAAAAATACAAAAAAAGAAAAAAAGAAAGAAAGAAAACTTACAGGTTGTCGTCTCCAATCCGTTGAAGTACAATCCGTTGATACACCCGAACAAAAACATGGTAAACAACCATTTGGTGTTGTTGGATTTAAATAGAAATGACTACGTTTACATTGATCACATCGATCACCTTCAACATTGTATTTACAAATACAACGTCCGCCACGTTCCATATGTGTACCAGATGGAAGACAACCTATTTCAAATAAAAATTTAACTAAAATATATTCATATTGAATAATAATTATTTACGTGATGTTGGTGGTGCAATTGTAACTGGTTGACAATCATATGGTGTACCTCGACGAGCATCACCTTGATAACCTGGTGCACAGAATTCACAATTATAACCAGCAGTATTATGTTGACAATTCTAGAGAAACAATAAAAATGATTAGTTCTTTTTTCTTTTTCTTTTTGTTTCTTTTTTCGAATACATACAAGACATTGTCCATCAGGTGTACAATATGATGAATGACCATTACAATTACATTGTGGTGGCGGTGGTGGTGGTGGTGGTCGGCGATCGGTAACTATTCAAGCACAAAAAAGGAACAAAATGGAATATGTTTTTAAATCAAAATACAAACCAATAATAACATCAACAATGGCATCTGGAACAGCAAAAATAAATCCTTGATTGTTAAGTGCTTCACATGAATAAGCACCACCATCAGCTGTATTAACATTACGAACAGTAAGTGTACCAGTTACAAGATTTGGATCATGTGGATCAACAGTTTGTGACAGTGTACATCGTCCATTATCTGAACCATCACCACAAACATGTCCCCAATTAAGACGCCAATTAATATATGGTGCTGGTGAACCACGAGCTATGCATTGTATAGTTAATGTTTGACCAGCATTAATTTGAATTTGACGTTGTGGTGCCGAAACAACAATTGGTTTAACTTTAAAACAAACAAAAACGACATTATAATAAATTTCAATGTTTACATAAATTTACCACAGCCAACTTCATCCGAACGATCAGGACAATCATTATAACCATCACACTGAAATGATCGTGGAATGCATATTGGATTTGGTGTTGTAGCATTTGAACCACCACAATGAAATTCACTTGGTTTGCAGTAACGTTGACGAGGAAGTAATTCTTTTAAATAACAAAATTTTTTTTTAATGAGAATTTTTTGTTTTTTTCTTTTTTACATACCACAATAACGTTGATCTTCATCACTTCCATCATCACAATCACTAAACAAAAAAAAAACATAAATATAAAGGATGAGTGACGGTTTCTTGAGAAATCAGCCCAATTGAATCTTAATGATTTTTTCGTATAGAACTAAAGAAGATGATGATGATAAAAACTATATTTTATACTTTCTAAGTGATTTTAGTAGATGTTAACAGGCTTAGAATTCGATAACATTTTCAATTTTCTAAGTATTACATAGAGAAATCCTGGTTACTAAATTTTACACATGTTTCTTGACGTATGTACTTGTTACTTGATGCAAACTAAATGAATTATATACCAATAGATAAGCTATGAAAAATACTTCAAAAACCTATATAACAATCATTTATCAGAAATGTAGGAAAAAAAATTTCTTGTTGAAATACTTTTTGAATACTGCTAAAATATGATGCTAGTGTCTAATATAAACGATCCTATGTGCTGAATTAAATTTTTCTCATTATGGATTATATACTAATCGATATAGTTTTTCATGGGCTATAAATCTATGTGTAATTTGTCAAGACAAAAAAGGTGCCAACATATTTGGAGTCAAGGAAGTTTTGTTTGGGTAGGCAAAAACGGCATTTTTTGACCAGTATTCACCGGTTTTAGTCATTATAATCATCATTTTAATCAAAACAGATAGAATATTCAGAATCAGTACACAAAATAGCGTCGACCTATATATGTTTCAAACGTTTCTCATGACTTTTATTTTCGATCGAAATTGGAGCTGTGGCTCCCTCAGGGCTGCCCTCAAAAAATAAGTTGAAAAATAAAAGTTATAAGAAGAGTTTGAAACATACATAAATCAACACTATTTTGTATGCTGATTCTAAATATGCTATCTGTTTCGATGAAAACGATGATTATAATGACCAAAATTAGGTAAATACTGGCCAAAAAATGACGTTTTTGCCTATCCAAACAAAACTTCTTTAACTCCAAATATGTTCGCAACTTTTTTGTCTTGACAAATTATACATAGATTTATAGCCCATGAAAAACTTTATCGCTTAGTATATAATTTATAGTGTGCAAAATTTAATTCAGTATATGGGATCGTTTATATTAGACACTAGCATCATATTTTAGTAGTATTTCAACCAGAATTTTTTTTCCTACATTTCTGATAAATGATTGTTATATAGATTTTTGAAGTATTTTTCATAGCTTATCTATTGGTATATAATTCATTTAGTTTGCATCAAGTAACAAGTACATACGTCAAAGAACATGTGTAAAATTTAGTAACCAGGATTTCTCTATGTAATACTTAGAAAATTGAAAATGTTATCGGATCCTAAGCCTATTAACATCTACTAAAATCGCTTAAAAAGTAAAAGGTATAGTTTTTATTATCATCATCTTCTTTAGTTCTATACGAAAAAATCATTAAGATTCAATTGGGTCGATTTCTCAATAAATCATCATTCGTCCTTTAATAGCAAAATTCTATTCATTTGTATTACCGATCACCATCACACATCCAAAATTTCTGTACACATTTTCGTCCACGATCGGCATTCGTACAACGAATTTCATTTGCTTGACATGCATCACCTAAATTGATTTCAATGATTCATTTTTTTATCACTAAGATTCATATGACTTATTACCTCCACCTGATGCTAAAAGATAGAAATGAATCGAAATAATAAAAAAGAAAATTTAAATAAAAACAAAAAAATTAAACTTACGTCCACCAGCTTCATCACTATTATCACCACAATCATTTTTACCATCGTAAAGAAATGCACGAGGAATACATCGACCATTACGACAATTAGCTTCATCAACACTACATCGACCAGAAACTGGCTGTTGAGGAACAGCTAGATTGAAAAAAAATTATATAAGACAGAAAAAAACCTCCTTGTTTTGAAAGAATGTACCGGACACATAAAGATTGAGTGTACCATGTGCTGATTGACCACGAGTATTAGTTGCTTCACATGTGTATACACCTGAATCGTAAACCGTAACTCGAGGAAGAACTAATTGATCTGTATGACCACGATTGACTGCTCCTTGACTCTAAAAAACAATGAACATATGACGATTTGAAAATTAAACGTAAAAAAAAAACAACAAAAATATTATTTACAGATGTAAATGTCCATCGATAATTGTTAGCTTGTTCACTTGGATGACATCGAAGAATGACTTGTGAATTTTCTTGTGCTTGTCCTGGAGCTGTTTGACCTTGAACAATATCAATTGTTACAGTAAATGTAGAAGCTAAAGAAAAAAAAAAATTTATTATTTTAATACAAAGAGAAATAATATTTATACGATAGCTTGGAAGAGTTGTTGTTGGAACTGGACCTTCAAAAAAAGATTGAAAATCATATAAAATTTTCATTCATTTTTTTTTGTTTTTATTAAATAAAATTACCTCCAAATGTAAGAACACTATTTGCATCTGCATAACTACTACCCGGAATTGAACAACGATAAGTTCCCAAATAAGGTCTTGAAATAGGACGAATATGAAGAGTTTTACCACGTGGATAAAGTGGTTGTTCATCGCTAAGAAGCTATGAAAACAAAAATAAATGAGAAAAAAAAATCTTTTTTCTACAATGTCGTCCGAAGGGTTAGTCCTGTAAAATGAGCAATTCATCCACATCCAATCTCTAAACTTTTCCAAATTTCGTCAGAATGTTCCTGTATCTACTATCTCTAATCTCTATTAGCACAAACATTCATGGATTGCACAACGAGTTTCCAAAAAACCAAGGTTTTTCAGATATTTTTCATTTTTTCTGACTTTGAAATAATCGACAAAAATAGTATATGCGGAATCAGCGCATTAAACTGCATCAAATGATATATAATATAAAACAGTTTTGAAAAAAAAATGAGACCAAGGATCTTCCCCTCATTTGTCATTGGAACACTTTTTTTCTTAAAAAAACACTTTTCTGCGTCATATCAAATCATTTTCTAAGCAAGAAAGACAAATGTCTGCCTGCCCTGCAAAAAAATGCACACTGTATCCTTCACAAACCTTGACAGACGCTAAGCAGAGATCGTCAAAAATATACAATAACAGATCTTATATGAACTACTTCCTTATTGCATTTTTGAAGGACTAAGTAAAAGGATGGTGAAGAAATGTGTCTCAAAATAGATAGAATAAAGCAATCGTTCTGTGATTAGTAACAGTAGCTACATTCTTACTCGATTATTAAAAAACCATTGAATACGTCCTTCATCTTCTGGTGCAGCACCTTCACATTGAATTTCTACATAATCACCTTCAGCCATATCAGGTGCAACAATACGTAAATATCCTTGACCACCGGCTAGAAAACATCAAGAATTTAAATAATAAAAAAATAAACTTTTTGTTTTTTTTTAAACTTACGTGCAGGTACAATTGGTGGATATACAGGTGGTGGATATACAGGTGGTGGATAATAACGACCTTCTTCCATAGTAAGAATAGCTGCACCACTATTACCAGCTGTATCTTGTGCCATACATGTATATTTACCAATTTTACTTGGATCATCAATTGTAATACGTGCTTTTAATGATACTTGTGACATTGTTACTTGTTTATCACTTGCATCAGCTGGATCAGTAAGAGCATAACGCTAAAAAACAATGATTGTTTAAGTCATTTTAAAACAATAAAATGAATTTATTTTACTCGTTCTGGTTCTTCTTGAATCCAATAAATAGTTGTACTTGCATCAGCACCATAAACAGTACAAGTTAATTCATAAGTTTGACCACGTTGTACTTGAAGAATTTCTGGACTGACAACAACACGAAGTTCAACTCGACCACTAGGTTCTGGTTGAGTAGGTCCTACTGTTGTATCTTCTATTCAATAAAAAAAAACAAAAAGAAGTCATTTCAAATATCTACATAACGGGTGTGTACTAAATTCTGATTCCTGTTTCCAATAATTTATTGGAAATGGGAATCAGAACTTAGTACACATCCTTTTTCTTATATAATTAAAACGAATGAGTGAGAAAATAATCAAATTATATTTTTTTGTTATTTCAATCTACTTCAATAACAATATTTCTTATCATGAAAGAAAAAAAACTCAACTACATTTGAAAATAATTTTATAGTACTTACCTTCAGTACCAGTAACTTGAGTTACATTGTCTAAATTAAATGTAAAAAAAAATATTATTTTATCATTACATCATATCAAAGTAGAATAATAAACAATAAGCATAATTATTAACATGCAATTATGTTTTTTTTACTTTTCTCTACGATGATAATTAATACAAGTAGAATATGTTATACGATACAACAACTGACATTATGTGTCATTCAAGAGATGAAGAAGTTAGTTAATTAATAGGCATGAGTAATCATTACGAAATAATAGATGGCATTTGAATATTGATCTCACTCGTTTTTACATCTGGAAATGATGATTCTTTGGGAATTTGCTTTCCTTTGGTTATTTCATTTTCCTTTCAACATTATTGGTTGTTATTATTATTGTTGTTATCGTTATATCTTCAATTATATTATTTTCTTCTGCAACATCAACATCTATTATTATTGTTCTATTTGTAACTTGTTGAACTATTAGTGTAATTGCTATTAGATATTTGTTATTAATTGAATTATCATTTGCTGGAGTTATAATTATAGTCGTTATATGTACATGGACATTCTTCATGCATATGTAGGCAATTATGAATCCATGCAAAAGAAAACTAACAATTCAAAATCAAACATTCTGATAAACTTACCATCTGTGGTGACCTCATCTAAAATAATTAGAAAATATTAATTAATTATTCGATTAAATTAAAATTAAAAAAATCCAAAATGAACAAGTTAGATAAATGAAACAGAACTTTCTTTCAAATGATATTATCATACACAAACTATTTCATTTGAAGTCTAGATAATATTATCAATACCTTTTACTGTTGTCAATAATCCATCACTTCCAGTTGAAACATCAGTCGATGTATCGTTAGTTGCATCAGTAGTACCCTCTGCTGCTGTTGCATCACTCGCAGTTGTTGCTCCACTCAAATCTGTAGTAGCAGCATCAACAGTCGTTACTTGATCGGATACATCCTGAGGACTTGTGACATCTCCAGTAACACCAGTTGCAGTACTTTCATCTCCAGTTGTAGTACTTTCATCTCCAGTTGTAGTACTTTCATCTTCAGTTACATGACCATTTCCTGGTTTAGCTGATGTTAAGTCATCTGCACCACTTGATGTTTCAAGAGTGAGTCCAGCAGTTGTTGCTGTTCCTTCTTCAGCTCCAGTAACTTTAGTAGCATCACTAGTAGCACCAGTTTCAGCTGCTTCAGTCGTAGCACCAGTAGCATCAGCTGTTGTGGCATCAGCATCAGCACCTGTTGTAGCATCACCATCAGCACCTGTTGTAGCATCAGCATCAGCACCTGTTGTA